TAATAATAATATATATATATATATATATATATATATATATATATATATATATATATATATATATATATATATATATATATATATATATATATATAATATAAAATTAAAAATTATAGCCATAAGGCCCCTGCATTTTTCAAAACAGGACATAATTCACCACTAATATGAGCTTCCATAATCCGATCCAATCCTCCGAACAACTCTCCTCCGATAAACACCGCCGGCAACGGCGATGACAAACTCCGATCCTCTCTCCGATCACCGCCACCATCGATAGATTTTCCGATGTCCTCTAGTTCGGTTATTGCCTCATTTTCGTATTTTTCTTCAATGTCATACATAACGGGGTTCGCTCCAAGACATTGAAGTAAACGTTTGATGACGTGGCTCATACAACATCCACGTCGTCTAAAAACTATAACGGCGTTTTCCGTTACCATTTTCTTGAAATTCCCTTTAGAGTAATTGATTTGATTGATCTTTAGAGACGAAGATTTGTTTAGAACCGTGGAATTTGTTGAAAAAAAATTCCATGATTTGTATGGAAGTGCATCTTGCATTGTGAAAAAATTAAAAATAAAAATTGTTATGTATGATATTTTTATTTTTCTTTGGAATGACTATGATTGTGTTGAGGAAATATAGAAAATGGAATTGATATGTGTATATATATATAGAAGTAGGATATTAAAAAAGTCAAAAGTTATTTGTATATTTAGTTTATATCTTTTCATACTATTGAGGGGGTTATATAGTATGAGTTTGGTACTACCTATTAATTTCGATTCAAATTCTAAATATATACGTATTGAGATAAAGGATAAATCACAAGTGTGGTTGGTAAGAAAAATAACATATATATAAACATTATTTGTATCTGGTGAATGCAGAAGGTCTGTTTTCGAAAGATTTAAAATTCACGAATAATCATTTCTCAGACTTTGTAATTAGAAAATAGTAACAATTTATCAAAAGTAGAATCGGAAACTGAATATTAAATGCTATTTTTATGCTATATCACAAAAAATAGATTTAAAACTTGTTTTCTAGTTTTTAACTTATTCCTAAATTTCAGAACCTATAAAATTTACGTTATAATTCTATGTTAGGTTTCACACACATATTAATCATACGATTTATTTTTCAAAATGTACATTTTCTTACTACTTAATTAACTATAAATACTCAGTACGAATAAATATTTTTTCCGCGTATAAAATATGAAAAAAAATATAGGGAGGGTGTGTGGGGTTGTAAATTAGCGTCAACGGTCGTTAGGCCAACTTACGCGTTACATGATATATGGCTTACGTAAAATTATGTCATGAATAGTCTATGCTTACATATAAAGTTGGTACTCCATGAGGTCATATTTTTGGGTTCTTTAAATATTTTTTTCGGTTTCAACACTCGTATTTCTATATTGAAGTCTGACTATTTGAATTTATGTTAAAAATTCATGTTGGGGTGACTTTCGTATGTAGAGAGATTCAAACTTAAAACCTCTGGAGTTTATGATAAAAGAGTACGTATCACTCTACCACAATATATCGAGCTAGAAGTATACACATTTTTTTTCAAATTAAAGATAAAAACTTCGTTAGAATACATGTGTTGAGAGGAATCGAACACTTATCTGTAACGTTCAATATTTCTACTCGTGTCCCAAGAAAAATCGACTATTCTATTACTTATTTCTTGATAAGTGATTTTTATATAGTTAATAAATTTTTTTAATATATACATAAATTTAACGTACGATTAAATTCTAAATCCGTTTCTCGGTAACGATGTCACAATGCACTTGCGCAAGATATGCAGTGGAATAAGTAGGCATTAAAAAGTAGAAACAAATCGTGATTTGACTGACTGAGATAATTAGTGTCTACTCCACTTAATTATCATATTCTATAATTTAATTAGCTTTTACTTTTTAACTTTATAATAATAAAATGGATTATGCTTTATCATTCTTGATGTTAACCATTTCCTATATTTTATCCTTTATATTTTGATTTAGTAGGCATAGTGAGTAAATATTTTTTTTAAAAGCATTAAAAATTATATAGTCAATATTCTTTTAGTGAGTTTAGGCTTTTCTTGTTTTACTATAGTGGGAAGAAAATAAATAGAAGTAAATTCGAGCAAAAGATGATAAGACGAGAAGTTGATTTAATTCTAAAATGAAATAACTGATAGAATTTGATATTTTATAAAAAATGATCGAGATTATAAAATTCTTTCATTTCATACACATATATATATATATAGGAATGACTATTAGACTTTTAATGTGTGTATAAAATTATATAATATTTTAATGTGTTTAACTTTTTTATAGTATCGTTATAAATAATAATACGTGGATCAACGTCGTCGAATAGTTTGTTTAAAAAAATATATAAAAGAGAAGGGGCCGCGTGATTCACCCCCAATAACGTGGCGTTGACAATGTCGATCCAAAGCTATGAAAAAACGTAGAGCGTGACGTGCGTGTGGATTTAGAAAAATATTTTTTTTATTTTTTCTTCTAATTTTCTCATATTTAATACTAGTATTATTTTTATTTTTATTTATGTAAAGATATTTTGATTGGGTAAGTGTTTTGTTTGATAAAAAAGATTATTTATGTTTTAAAATAAATAGTAGATATTTATGTGCACGTAAAATGAAGAATTTAAAAAATTGAAAATTGTTACTAAATATAGAGAATAGTGTCACACTTATTGAATCTGATTTGAAAAATAGAGTGTCATATAAATAGAGACGAAGGAAGAATTTATTTGAAAAGGTAAATTCTTAAATTAAAGAACGTAACTTACGTATAAGCAAATAAAATAAATAAATAAAATTAGTGCACCCAACATATTCCAAATCAAACTCTTACCAATAAGATAAAATTAAGTTGTCTTTACACTTTTAATCATAGAAAGAAATTAAAATAAATTACAAGACATTAGTTACCCTTACTTTCTTTTTGATCTTCCTTTAACCAAACAAACAAATTGAAATAAATTACGAATAAAAAAGTGACATATAAAATGAAACGGAGAAAGCTCTGCAAAGCTAACAAAAACCCACACATTGAATCTAAAAAAGTAGGGTGTACACAAATTTAACCCCCCCATGAAGGTAAAGAAAATATTTCAAAGGAAAAAAACTCGATTCAAGTAACACATATCAAATAACATAACGCAAGAAAGACGAGAATTACTAGAAGCAGCATTGCATAGTAAGTAGGAAAACAATACCATGACAACACAATACTGTGATAACCTAAGCATAACAAACAAGCAGTAGTAACTGAAATCACAATTAAAACAAAGATATATGCTACATGATTATCAAAATCTATTATTCATGTTAACCTTATTGCTAGAATCTAAGTTTATTTTTTCCCAGAAGCAACAGAAATAAGGGACTTAAAACAAACAGATCTTACATGATTGTCAATGTACTAATTGCATACAATTTATAAAGCAACATTAGTTTCTCGTGCAATGTTTCCATGTTCAAGAGTTCAAATAACTAAGAAAACCATCTATCAAGTCGTCATTATGTAAACATGAAAGGGGCAGTAGGCTTGCAGGGAAACAAAATATTGATAGTTGAAACATCAATCAGTTGCACTATCCAAGTCACTTTCTTGTAGTGTCCAAGTTGAAGTCCTGAAGGTTAAGCAACAGATCATCGGCACTCAAGTACACCTTGTTTGCTGCGTGTGAGATAGTCTGGGCGATTTCTCTGGCTGCTTCAATCTTCCTGAGAGTGATAAATGCTGGATTGTTGGCAATAGCTTGACCAATCAGCTGAGCACTCTTAGCTTCTCCCTGTAGAACAACAAATAGGAAGTCAATACTACTGCTTTGTGATGTTCCCTCACCTCCCACCTCACTTCCCCCAAAAATATGATAGTACAACATAAAACAGAAAAAAATTATTAGCTGAAAACAATTTCATGTAGTTAGTTTACTAGTCTTGTTTGTCAATAGTAAAGTGGGAGCTACGCATGAGACGTCATCAACACAGAAGCAGATAAAAGATAAAACTGGAGCAATAGATTAAATTAAACAGAAGATGTCATGAGGGGAACTCTATTGACCTGAGCTCTGATAACAGCACTTCGCTTATCTTGCTCAGCTTTTTCCACAACAAATTTCGCCCTCTCGGCTTCTTGAGCAGCCACTTGTTTTGCTTCAATTGCAGCAGTAAACTCTTTCCCAAATGTTAAGCTTGTTATGGATACATCATCAAGTGCAATGTTGAAGTTGGCTGCCCTGTCTGTCAAAATCTTCCTTATTTCTCTGCTAACATTCTGCACAAAATATAGAAGACAGGAAATGATGAGATGGTATATATTAACGGTGGTCTTTGAGAAGGCATCTATTAACATTTAAACAAGTTCCTGTGTCGCAAATACAAGATCCGTAGTTCATTTCTTTCCCTACTTCAACGAAAAAGACGTAAGCATCGAATAAGCTTTCAGAACCAATGGGCCTATAATCACAGTTCAATGGTACAGGTAAGAGGAAGTACCACCTATAGCATAAGTTACTTCCACCAAGAACATCAACTAAACACACAAGGCCTCTTGCACGTACCTCTCTCTGGGTGATGAGCTGGCTAGCATTGTATTGGGCAACCACAGCCTTCAAAGTTTCATGGATAATTGAAGGTAGGACCCTTTCATTATAGTTTTCACCAAGAGTTCGGTAAACTGTGGGTAGTTGGTCTGAAACTGGACGAGTGAGCACCCTAAGACCAATTTTTACCTGCATAAGAAAAAGGAAAAAACAAAAAAGACTGTTAAATCCTCTACTTCTAAGAATTCAAGCTTTCTATCCTAGGATAAAATCATAACATCATCTATCACCAAAATTGTCCTTCATTACTTTGCAATTGTTACAAATGTTCCCATCTTTTCCCCTGTTTTGATTTCTTTCTTTTTTCTCTTTAAGTCCTTAGGGGGGGGGTGGAGGAAACAAGTAGTCAGAAAAATTTACCATCTGGAGGTCACGACTTCCCGAAGTGCTCTCCACAAGATGGGGTCGTGCACGAACATCATATATGACTGGTCTTTCAAACCAAGGAATCATGAAGTGTGTCCCTTCTGGATAAACCTATTCATAAACCACTCAACACAGATTAAAAAGAAAAACACAAATATGGGCACACATCAAACATAGGAACAGAGAAAAAACATGGTTGAGTCTCATACAATGAGATTGGCCATAACCATCCAACACAAACATTTGAGTTTAGAACAAAATAAAACCATGAAAAATTATGGCAATCCTTGCATGTATTGAAACAGAAAAAAAGAATAGCCTGTGGAAGGCACCTTAATTCATGTTCCACCTAATAAGTTTCTCAACTTAACATGGATAAAAATTAACATAGGCATAATCTTGGAGCGACTGATGCTAATCAAAAGTCAATCTAATTGATAATGTAAAAGAGCACCTAAACATCATCATGATCCAAAAGAACAGAAGGCAAGAATACCTTGTTTTTGACACCACCAATACGGTTGAAAACAATCGCGCGATGCCCACCCTCAACATTGTAGAGACTGTTGGCAACTCCATACACACCAAGACCAGCAATAACTCCAAGCTTGATCAAAGCAGAAGTTGCACCACCACCAGGCATCTTGGGAACCTTGACATTGTTGAGATTCATTTTACCAGCTCCTGAAATAAACTAATCATATTCATATTTCTGTTACCGCAAAATCAAAAACCTACTAGTATGGAAAAGGAGTATTCCATGTGCAGTCTGAAGAGCTTTAACAAACAAACACACAATCAGACACACTCTTATTGGTCAGCATGGAATTTTCTTTCCAGAGATACAATTCAGGATAGAGATTAAGCGTTTTACTAAAGGAATTTTCTGTTTGATTTCCAATATGTGAGAAAATATACTCTAAAGGTAGAAAGGACGCACTCTTCTTTTTTTCCTGTTGAAGCCCTTTTAGCATTAAAGATTGCGATCAAACCTTTTTTAAGTCATGTACCCTCTCTTTTCTAAAAAGTTAAAGCTTAAGCTCTTTCGCAGATCTAATATCATCTAAATAAGAGGACCGAGCAAAGCACTCGTTGTGTAATGCATCATTAATATTCCAAATCCCAGCATTCTACATTAAATAGATTTTCACCTATTTCTTCATTTACACTGGACACTATTATTTTAAACATTCATACATTGTTTTTATCTTTCTTCTCGATGGATAACTAGGAAAAGGTTTTTTCAGAAAAGAAAAGGAACAGAGAAATCCATTGTTATAGCATCAAACATGTTGGAAAATGTGCTGACTGATCCAAACATGTCCACTGAGATATCAAACTTGGTTCAACAACTATGTTTCAAACTTGTGAAGTCCACCTACAACAAATTTCTTCTGCAGTTGAAATAAAGCCATAAGCCTGGAGTGTTGGGAATTCTAGATAAACTTCAACTAGCCAAACTGAAGGTTCAACTCAATGTAAATCACTTTCACATTTTAAAAGTTCACTAGAAATCTGTCAAAAGGTACACACAAATAGACCCTACAAACACCAACTCAACCAAAACATCAGCAAACAGCAAATCAATCAATCAACAAGATCAATGTACCAAATTAAACTTAAAGAAAAACAAATTGTGTCAAAAAATAAAACCCAAATGGAGTTGTCAGAGACATTTCAATTGGCAAAACTGAAGTATCAACTCAATAAGTAACACTACGCTTCAAACAGCAAAACCAATCAACTACGTCACTGTACCAAATTAAACTTGAAATTACCTCAGCTAGATCATCATAATACTCAACTATCCCAAATCAATCTCAAATTTCACAAAATATAATCACACTTCAAACCCGAAATCACAATAACCCGTTAAACTTAAAGAACAACAAATTAGGTCAAACATACAACTCAAATGGGGTTCTCTTCTCAATTACATTTCACCATGTTTCAACTCAATAAGTAACACCCAAAAAAACGCCTCAAACAGCTAAATCAATCAATCAACTACATCATATACCAAACTAAACTTGAAATCAGCTAAACTATTCCATATAATTCACTCCAATACTCAATAATCTATGTTCAACCCCAATAAATCGGAAAAAAATACCAAAAAATCAAAAAAAAATCACAAAAGCGTCATTACCCAAAATCGGCTAAAAACTCAAACCCAAATAGACTTTGAAGTTGAAGATGAATTTACCTGATCCGAACGAAGTAGAGAAGTTTAGGGTTTTTGGTAGAAAATGAAGAGAGAAGAAACTAAAAAGGGGATTTTACAGGGAACTTGGAGAAGGGGTTTAGGGTTTTTCGATATTTTTTAATTTAATTTTAATTATATTTCGTTGATTATTAAATGTTTATGGGCTTTGATATTGGGCTCTATTATGAAAATTGACCCTTTTCTTGGGTATAGAAAAGCCCATTATACTTATTGGATCCCAATGAGTTTTCACCTTTGTCAAGTTCTCATAAAATTGGGGAAAATTTCACAAATAGCCATTAAAATAAACTTAATTAGGTTTCATAGTTATAGTTTGTTGATTACGAGTCGTAGTTACATGTTTGGGGGAGGGAGGGAGGGAGAGAGAGAGAGAAGAGAGAGGTGAGCGAGAAAGGACAAAGAGTGGGAGAGACGAATAATATTTGTATGTCTGTCGTATAATTTGTATATACATATATGTATTAATGAAAACTATAATATTAATTTGAAGATGAAAATCTAAGTCTTCAATTACTAACTCAACACATGTTCCAAAAATAATCTCTATTTCATATATACATATTTTGCCTTATCGGAAATGTCACAAACCTTTGAAAAAGTCACAATCTTTCGGAGAATTCGTCAACTTTCACAAAAGTCACAACTTCCCATAAAAATCATTGTTTTTCATAAAAATCGCAACTTTTCATAAGAGTCACAACTTTTTACAAAAGTCACAACCTTTCATAAAAGTCATAACTCTTCATTTTCCATTCACACCTTTAAAACCCAACAGACACTTCTACATGAGGTTAATCTTAATCTCCACTTAATTAATTTGTTGTTGTTTTTTTCTTAATTTTCTTTCGTGATTTAATTTGTTGACATATAAATGGCCTAGTAACTAGTGAAATTATATGATACATTTATCAATGTAAATATTAGCTTCCATAATTATGACATGACCAGCCAAGATCTGGTCATCTGGTGAGATTATTAAGATTTCTTTCAGATATTAAATTTGACTTTTTTGTATGAAGTTTTCCATGTGAATTTGAAATAAAGATTTGCTTAGCTTTTAGTATAAACTTGTTGACAATTAATTATTAGTTACTTGTGATTAAAATATTAATAGTATTATATTACATTCCTTTACGATCAAACATAATTATTAGGATGATTACCAAATAACATTGGCAAACATTGGAGAAATTGTCAAAAAAAATTGATTAGCAAGCAGAAAATATTACTTAAAAGATATTTTTATATAAAATTTAGGTAAATATTATTATAAGGATGAAAGTGATAGAGGTGAGATTGATTCCAATACCAAACAAAATTGAATTTTGGATCCAATTCACGTAAAAAAGTTAGCTCAAAAGAAAAAAGATTAACCGAATCTTATAATCTTTAACATATCCTAATTATGCACATCAATCTCAATATATAAGAAATTAAAGAAATCAAGATTCATCTATCAAAAGAAGTTGTTTAATTTCCATTAAAAGAAGATAAAAAAAAAGAATACATCAATCAATACATAACCCCTCATCCCCTGTGCTTGAATCATACGTTGCGACTGTTTCAACAGCTCGAACCTGAACGCTACTTGCAAATATATGAGTTAGAATTGTAGAAACAATGGACAACATTTTGCTTACATACCATAGGAAAAAATGGACTCCAACTTTGATGGCAAGTGAATGATCATAGATGCCAAGACAATCCAAAGAGACCTAATTTCCTCAACTCATCACTTGGGAAGCACAATTTCTGAAATGTTTGCACTGGTACGCCCTTGTCATTGACCACCAAATACCTGTACAAAATGATGAGCAGTTTCCATCAGAACATAAGCGAGTCTTTTATTTACCTCTTTCACCAAAGCAGGGAATGGGGGAAATGGAACTTACTCCGGCCAAAACGTCCTTAGACAGACTAGGCTTGAGTTTCCCAGCTTGATCTGCCACAGGTTTTTTCTGGGGAAATTGTCGTATCACCTTTGGTGCAAACTGATCACTTGGGAAATCAGAAATTACCCCAGATTCCTGTTGCACCTTTTGCTTCTGTAAAGATGGAACAATTAAAAAGTATTATCTATACTATATTACTCAATTGTGAAAGATATTAGGTAAGATAAAGTGAGTGGTCGAATACCTAAACTAAAACTGGCTATAATACCTTACCAAGTAATAACAACTCGGGGTGAGGAAAAGAGACTCTTCCTATTTTACACAAAAATCAACATCTACATTTTATTAGTTTTGCTAGACATCTTCTAACATCAATCAATGTATTAGAAATCCAAATCAGAGCTTATCGACGAAAAACTAGAGTTGTCACATGTTGTAACTACTATTTAAAGAATAAAAACTCAAAAGGAGATGGCAAATAAGAAAGTCAATCAAGGGAGATCAAAACATGCTGCTTAACAACTACTTGCATGCTAAAGAATTAATTAAAAATTGTATCACTGACCTTCTTCATTCGTTCTTCAATAGAACTTAAAGCACGAGATTTATCAACTTGTGTAAGGTAGAAATCACGCTCCCTCTTAGCAGCAGAAAGCTCCAAAGCTAGTTTCTGCTCACGAACTGCATGCCTTTGTGCTGCAAAATGTTTGTGAGGCATCAATTAAGAAGTAAATGGAGATCGAAAAATGCATCACTACCAAATAAACCAAAAAGTAACACCATACCGATTTCATCAGTAACATCATCCCATTTGATTTTAGACAAGTACTTGACATTCCAAATGTCATAATAGAATGATGACCTTTTTCTTCCACCTGTCAAACAGAAATTTGACAGTGAAGTCGATAAACTCTCAAGGTCACTGAAAATATAAGAATAACAGAAGCTGAAAACTGAATCAGAATAACCAAATTATATTGTTATGACACAAATGGCATAATGCAACAAAACAATGATAGTCTATTCGTAATAGAAGCCAAATTTTGGCTAGTAATCTGAATAATTGGCATGTCCCCTAAAAATGTGTAATAAGCACAATAACTAGTCAGCTCAACAAGAAAATAGAAACATTTGTCAATCTTACTGTTAGATGCTATGATGGCACCCTATTCACCAAATAAAAGAAATATGTAAATAGCCTGAACATCTAAAGAGAATTCCTTAAACTGGAAAGAATCAAGAAGAAAAGGAAGGCACTGATAAGAAAATATGTTACTTTACCCATCTGTTGACCATTTAACATATTTGCGACTCTTTTGGCAACACTCTTTTTTGTAAACTCAACCCACCTACAAATATAGATGATAGTTTAATTACTTTCGGTAAAAAATGTCATAATCATGCAGATGCAACATACGATTCATGCTAAGTAAAGATAATCTGATTTCAGTTGACAGAAACTTCAATATAAGCATACCCTTCTGAAAATGCTTGTCCTCGGAATCCACCTGCCCGTTTCCGATTCATTTGAGCAGCAGCAGCTGTATGCAAGACAAATTAGTAAAGACAACCAAGCTAAGCCAAGGAGCACAGTGAAGTGTTTAACCAATATCAGATATAAGAGCAAAAACAAGGAACTCAACAAACCTTCAGGTACAAGATATATTCTCTGAATTTCTCCAAACTGAGAAAGAACCTGGCGAAGTTTCACATGGTCCATACGAGGCGGTACTCTACTTACGTGACAAACTCCACGCTTTTCAGCCTTCACCTTCTTCTTCTTTTTTACTTTTCCAACTTGTGTTTTAGTTTCATCTTCTCTACATGGTGGACTTGTTTCCTCAATTTCCAAATCTTTCTCACCCATCTAACGGAAAGGAGAAAACCAGTTGTGCCAGATAAAACTTGTGCTATAGTGGAATTTGTCCGTCAAAGCTACAAGAATAATTTCCAATGTATTAGCAATCATAAAATTAACTCCCCCAACCCTAAAGCCACTAAATAGCCAAAAGGACAGTTGAAAGCAAGGGCGGCTCAACCCTAAGCCCTAAAGCCACAAAATTACAAATCCTTCAAAGAAGCAATAAAATCCCGAAAATTAGTTCGAAAAAGGAAGTTCAAATACGAAAATAAATATATACATCCGAATCCGTAGATAAATTCGAGGAAGAGACACGATTAAAGGAGAACCAAATGCACTGAGACAAAAGATGAAGGAGATATATACAGACCTAATGAGACGACCAGCTCTGCTGAAGGCGACAGCAAAATCAATCAATCAACAGGATCAATGTACCAAATTAAACATGGGATCAGCTATTTCATTCGGCTACTCAATATAATCCCACTTCAAAACCCAAAATCACAATAACCCATTAAAACGTACAGAACAACAAATTGTATCAAAAATAAAACCCAAATGGAGTTTTCAGAGACATTTCAATTAACAAAACTGAAGTTTCAACTCAATAAGTAACACTATGCTTCAAAATGCAAATTAAATCAACTACATCAAGGTACCAAATTAAACTTCAAATCAGCTCAGCTAGATCATTGCAATATTCAAATATCCCAAATTCCACAAAATATAATCAAAGTTCAAAAACCGAAATCACAATAACCCGTTAAACTTAGGAACAACAAATTGGGTCAAACATACAACTCAAATAGGGTTATCTTCTCAAATACATTTCACCAAGTTTCGTAACACCCAAAAAAAATGCTTCAAACAGCAAAATCAATCAATCAACTACATCAGTATACCAAATTAAACTTGAAATCAGCTGAACCACTCTATCTAATTCATTCCAATACTCAATAATCTATGTTTAACCCAAATAAATCGGAAAAAATCACCAAAAAATCAAAAAAAAAAGCGTCATTACCCAAAATCGGATAAAAACTTAAAATCAAATAGACTTTGAAGTTGAAGATGAATTTACCTGATCAAAACGAAGCAGAGAAGTTCAGGTTTTTTGGTAGAAGATGAAGAGAGAAGAAACTAAAAAGGGGATTTTACGGGAAACTTCGAGAAGGGGTTTAAGGGTTTTTCGATATTTTTTTAAATTTTAATTATATTTCGTTAATTATTTAAATGTTTATGGGCTTTGATATTGGGCTCTATTATGAAAATTGGCCTCTTTGTTTTTTTTTTTTTGTAGAAAAGCCCATTATTCTAATTGGACCCCCAATGAGTTTTCACCTTTGTCAAGTTTTCATAAAATTTCACAAATAGCCACTAAAACAAATTTAATTAGGCTTCATAACTATAGTTTGCTAATTACGAGTTGAAGTTACATCTTAGGGGGCGGCGGGGGGGGGGGGGGGAAGAGGGCTAGATTGAGGAGAGAGGTGAACGAGAGGGCAGAAGTATAGAGAGATAAATTATATCTGTATATCTGTCATATAATCGGATACATATATGTATAATTTGTATATGTGAAATAGAAAAGAGGTGCGAGAGAGAGAGGAAGAGAGGAGAGAGATACACATAATTATAGCTAAAACTAAGTTGCAACCTGCAAGTGGTAATTAATGAAAACTATAACATTAATTTGAAAATGAAAATCTTAGTCTTCAATTACTAACTCAAACACATGTTCCAAAAAAAAATTCTCTATTTCATATATATATATATATATATAGATAGATAGATATTATACATATGAAAGTGACTTTTCAACTATAGAATTTGGATTTTTATGAATTTTTGAAGAAATTTATATGTATCGCCTAAAAGATATATATCAATATTTTTTAAGAATAATGAATTTGCTTACTGTCCAAAACTTTCTTGCAATTTTTATGTCTATTTTTTGTAATAATATTTTAAATTAGAGGTCTTAAATTCGAATATTGAAATAGATAAATCCTTGATAGTTAGTACTTCAATCTTAAATGAGTCATACATACATGATTTAGATTATTCCAAATATCATATAATTAAAAAATCAAAATAATCAAAGATCTTGTCGATTTAGGTGTAACATCTATTATTGATAATGAGATCATATTATAAAATTGATAATTAGAGGTTTGCCAAATCTTGTTGATTAATCTACGAGTCAACTATGATTATCTCAACTTGAAAAGAACTGTTTTACCATGTAAAACACGATTTAATTATTATATTTATTTTCATCAAGTATAAATATATAGATGAATGAATAAATATTTATCTCTATTTAGGTGAAAATATTGGTGAACTCAAAGAACAGGCTAGGCATTTCTACATGAGGTTAATCTTAATCTCTACTTAATTAATTTGCTGTTTTTTTTTCTTTAATTTTCTTTAGTGATTTAATTTGTTGATATATAAATGGCTTAATGATTAGAGAAATTTTAAGATATATTTATCAATGTCAATATAAGATTTCATAATTATGATATAACTAGCCTAGATCTGGTTAGATTATTAAGATTTCTTATAGATATTTCGAATTTAGCTTTTGGTATAAATTTGTTTAAAAGTAATTGTCTTTTATTTGATATTAAAATATTAATATTATCTATCGAAAAGTTTGTTTCTTTGGCTTCTTTTGTTAGTAAATAAATTGATACTAAGGCAAGTTTTGATGCAGAAAATATTATTTTAAAAATATCTATATAAAATTTAGACAAATATTGTGAGGACGAAAGTGGCAGAAATAAATATTATGAAGCGTGAAAATGAGAAAAAGACAATTTGATATAAAATATTAAAATCGATTAGTATTAAATCTCGATTTCGCCTTTTCGCCTTTCTATATAGTATGCTTCTCCCAAAGTTTGCTAGAGATCAATTAAGCACTTGGACACTCTAATTTATGTAAAATAAGTTAATAATAAAATTTAAAAAAATTATATTTGTCAAATTATATCTTATGCCTAACTCACACCTCAAACGATATCACAAAGGAAGGAGGATTACCTGAGTATTATAAGGAATCCACAGGTCTCATCCCTCGCCTATGTTGTACATTTTTCTTCAACATTCTACTCGCGTCTGAACCATTTTTTGCACTTCATGATTCGCTGTATTTCCTCCACCGTCACCCCGCTCACCCCTCAATCTCTTAAATGGGCAATGTCATTTCGATATGAATTTTAGATCCAACTCATATTTCAAAAATTAGCTTAAAGAAAAAAAGATTGTTTGAATTTTATAAAAGGTTCGAAAATTTCAACTCTCGCCGATAATCTTTAGCAACATCTTCTAATTATGTACATCAGTCTCAAGAGAAATATGTCTGCGATATTTACAAATTTATTCCTTTATCGAATCCAAAAAATAAAAATGAAGCAAGCAATACATAAGAAATTAAAAGTAGTTCAATTTCCATTCAAAGAAAATAAAAAAGTACATCAATCAAACACATAACCCCTCATTATTTCATATCAATTACATGACACACCATGTGATAAAAAAAAATAAATGCACACTCATGAGGATCAATTATTTTATCACAAACTCAAATTAATTAAGGATAAACCTCAATTAGTGACCTTAATCCAAGAATTGGAGTAACTTTATAGTCACTAAATCCAGCCTCAGAAAAGATTTTAGCCCATCCTCTTTCAGATCTCTCTCTTCCAGTAACCAAAACCATCATTAACATATCAAAGAAAATTTGAGTTTCAATTGATTCATCATCTCCAATTTTATTATCAACCATCATGTCAATAATTATCACCTTTCCACCTTTTTCCTTGCTGGGTATCGCTTCTTTACATTTCTTTAGTATTTTCACACTTTCTTCGTCACTCCAATCATGTAATATCCACTGCAAATGATTCATATCATATGATATGAATTTAGATTGATCGAATAAGTGAATTTTAAATGTCTAAAATTATACTTTTATCTCAATGAAAAATATTTTTAAAAAATATATAATATGTACTAGAAGAATTTGACTTTATTTATAAAATAATATTGTGATCAATATACATGAAGTAGACTTGATTCTTTAATCTCTTATTCTTGAAGAAAATAATAGAAGAATAGCTCAACTTTTCAACTAGAGCAATAATGAAATCATTATAAAGTTTTCTATAAAACCAATTTTTCATTATATGGTATGTTATCTCTGTAATAACATTTTACTGTAACAATATAGAATTGACAATTCGAAAAATGATGTCGTTGTAAAGAGATTTTTTTTTCGTGAAACTGATTTCTTTTGCTATGTTATATCGTACGTTCTTTATAGTATCCAAAATTATCTACACAACAATATCATATTATAAAGAGATTTGACTGATTTCTCTTGCTATGTTATATCGTACGTTCTCTATAGTATCCAAAACTATCTAAACAACAATATCATATTATAAAGAGATTTGACTGTATCACTCAACTATAGGCTATACGTATAACTCAAATCCGAAAAAAAAAAGTAGTGAAATTACCTTGAGTAGAAGAGCCTCAGCATGAGGAATGGACACAAAGAAATCCCCACCAACATAAGTCAAGTTATCACTTCCTTCAAGTCCTTCAACTACATGAGGCAAATCAAACACAGTACATTGCAAATTAGGAAAAGTTTTAGCAATTGTTTTAGCCACAGTCCCAGTACCACCACCAACATCAACAATAGAATTTAATCCTTCAAAAACATCTTTTGAGTATTTCATCACAACACTCATAACCAACTTAGCATCACTAGCCATTGCATCATTGAAAAAATGATTCAACCTAGGTTCATGTCCAGCATAATCCCAAAATGTTCTCCCATGTGCAACCTCAAATGCTGTTGGCTCATCACTAGTAAACCACTCACTTACATGATGCCATGGCTTTACTAAAATTGGATCCAACATTGCTAGTAAAAAAGGTGTAACTGTTAACGGCTCGTCTTTCAATAAAAGAAGAGCTGGAGGGGCCAGGACGTAGCCCCCCTCTCCTGACCCTGATTCTGACCCTGATCCTGATACTGACTTGAGGAAAAATCCTGAGTGGACCAAAATTCGCATGAGACGTCGAAGGTGAGTGATTTTGGAGTGGTTGATTGATAGGGCATTGGCTAATTCATCAAGTGTCATAGGTTTGCCATGTTTGTGGATTATGTCTGGGATGTTTAATTGAATTGCTGATTTGAGTGACATGGAATTTATGAAACTAAATATATGGTTCCATATGTGAGTTTGAGCATGAAGAATTTCAGTCTCATGTTCACCAACAATTGGCACAACCATTTTAATAAAATTGTAATAAACTTTTTTTTTTTGTTTTGGTTTTTGATTGATATGCAATTTCTCTATAGACTTTTGATCAATTTATAGATAGTGAAAGGATGGAGTAATTAATTGTATACAAAAAAATAATAATAATAATGAGATAGTCATGTTATCATGAGATACACGATAGTGCTTTGTAAAATTATTTTATTTGAAATCCAAGCAAGTGGTACTTTGGATTATTTTATACCAAATTCAATTGGCATAAAGTTTTAAGAATGTTTTGTTAAAATAAAAAAAGATTATAGATATATAGAGTTGTAATATAGGAACTATTTCGATTTCGATTTCTATCAAGTTAACAATTATTAATTTAGAAGAACTCGAAAAAAAAGTGATTGATTCACAAAACAATTACAAAAACTTTGAATCTAAATTCAAACATGAAATTGAAAGACATATGCTCACTATAATGAATGAGGTTGCTCCTCTTTTAATTAGAAATTTCAGATCGAGTTCTGAATATAAAAAAAAAATCGTTAATAAAGAGTACTACCTCTTGAATGAGGCTCTACCTGACATCAATCTAATTTAATCGAACTCTAATATTAATATCAAATATTAAATACAAAATCAAATTTTTATCGAACTCTGTTACCTCTGCCCCACCCACCTTGTTTTCTCATTTATTGTGTATAATATAATAATACTTGCTTTTGTATGTTCCTCAGTTAAAAAACACATGGGCCATGACCACTAATATATCAATTCTTTTATTTGATTCGTTATCTTATCTAGATAATGAGGATTGAATTTATTTTTGTGATTGAATTTTTAGAATTCAATAAATATATTACGATAATTATTTAAATGTCTAGTAGAAATATCCTCAAATAAAAC